TATTATTGGTTCACTAAGATGGGAATGCTAAACTACATAATTATCTCCTCATATGAATTCCCTATATACATATGGGGACAACCATTTTTGTCTAAACTCAACCACCCCGACTATTAAGCGAATCTACTGGTAAAAGTTTTGTAGATGATAAATTTGTTATAAAACTAGTCGTGACCGTAAAGAGATTCACAAAGAAACCTGTAACATGAATATGTAGCAATATTTCGACAATATCGAGTCCATAAAACTGATGATAAGCCTTGAAAAAGTAATAAACTTCCTGAAATCAATAAACTCTAATGAGTTTCATCAGATCTATTTAAATATACGTTAACTTCACAACTGAGTCGTTTCTACATTATAGTTTTGAAGGGTTATGCAGATAAAAACTGTTGTAAAAAATGATGCTTTTTAAAATATATTTCATGATAATTGAAATAGAAGTTTGAACTAACATATACTCTTCATATTTTCATCTCAGAGACAACAAATTTAACTACACAATCGAGTAACAAAATGTTAACTGTCAGTGTCTCAGATATTTGATGTCCATAATTTGGCTGCTTATCACTTCATCTGATGCTTGATAAATTCTTCATCATTAGAAGTCTTTTACAAAGATTAGTAAATGGATCAAATGCTACAGTTCTTCAGGTGTACGGCTTATGATTACACTGTAACATGTGCTCTTTTTCCCAGGGATTCTCTCTATTTAAAATGACCTAATGCATATAGTTGTTTACAGACCAGAAAGAAGGTAGAATAAGTATTGACAGTACAACAGAGATTCAGATAAGTGCAAAGAAGTAAAATATGAAACGAGCCTTATAGACCAATAGTTCCATATATCGTTATTACTTAGTTCATGTTAGCCTAATCTTTTTCTTTTAGCATATTTACTATTTGAAAAGCTCAAAAGAATGGAAGCAGCTATTACATGAGTGTTGTCCACAGAACAATACTTAGTGTTCGTATAATGTATCTTAATATCCACTTTCAATGTCATTGCTGTGTTTCATGTTGGTAATAATAGCTTTTGTGCACGTGGCCGTTGTAAATTCTTTCTATTAAAGATTGCAAAGAGTAAATACAACCTAACACGTCTTTATGGAATATGCTAGAATTTCATCTGTTTGAAAACCAGATTTTGGTGATACATTCACATATATTTACACTGCTTTAATTTCTCTAAGATAATATATTGTGTTTGTTTAGTGCGGCCTGCGGTCAATTCATTCATGTTGCATAAATGCAGTAGATATGTCCTGAAGATGTCTATATGCACATTCTTCAGAATATAGTTTCATGGAAATTTACTTGATTTACAAGTACTTGACCTCCTGCTTGTCTTCCGCTTTTAGAATTTATTAATATCTTTGAATACAATTTATTGATATTTACTCATATATCTTCACTGAACAGCATATGAAAAATAGTGGACCAACAATTTGAGGGTGTTTAATTTTTGTGAGAATTCGAGATAAAGTGTTTTAAGGGTCCCATGAAGCTAAAAATATGTCCAAACAAGCTTCGGAAAAAGTTAATCATTTGCTTATAACAGTTGAAAACACTAGTAATTTGTTGTGTGCACTGCATGAATATCAAAGAAGGTCATAAATAATCTTAGAGTAGGCATGGTTTTTGTCATTGATCTTTTGAATCAAGACATTTGATGTCATTTATCTATGGAGTTATGGGTGGCTTTGGTTCCGTATAAAGTCATAATAACAATTGTTATTGTACTATTCAGTTACCTAAAGTATAGTACATAGTTTTCAAAGAAAAGTGCTATCATGAAGTTACTACAATTTTGAGTAGTTCATTACAACTAATTAAAATACACGACTTGAACATCTTATTAGGAGATAAAAACTACTTGTATTGAGTCAAATAGAAATATTAAGCGATAATGTAAAGGCTAAGATGATTCATCTCCATCTATCAAAAGCTATTATTTTCCATAGTTTTCGCATCCATAAGTTCTTCAGCAGTTTTGTATTTATTGACAATAATTTGATGATTACTTGAAATTATATTTTTCTGTAAGACTTATCTACTGATAAGCAGTATATATCGATAACGGTGTTTCATTTTTAACTCTAAAATGTACTGATGAACTAAAACTAAATGAATCGTAGTAGCATATGATAAACTTAGGAATATCAAAACTTTGCTTCCTTACGGAGGGTACTTATGGGTGCTTGAGTTTGTAGACGTTTCAGAATTTCTCAGAAAAATCTCAGACCAGTCTCCTGACAGAAATCAACATGTAATATTATTAGATCGAACCTTCTGTACTGTTCAGTTTGCTCAACATTTAAGTGTGGACAAAATGTGGGCTTCAGGTGAATCATTTACCAAAGTCTTTCTCTGTTCAGAAAAACAAAACATTTTGCTAATTTGTGAACATCACCTAACTTGGAAGGTTTCAATAAAAATCGAGTCGCTATATAGTATTCTTGATGTGCATCGAATAAGAGTACGCAACTACCTGTCTCTGGAGACGATACAGAACTTGATAGACCGATGTGAATAGCTTTCTTTTAACAATAAAGGCATAAGTTGAGATATTTTACTATAGTATCATTTTGTGTTTTTAAGAAATGATAATTACTCTATAAATAACTACATTCCATTACCTCTCGTATTTACGATGTTTTCACTTTCTTTATCACCTGGACAATTCGTAGCCAGGAGAACGTTTTTAAATAGACCCTGGTATTTCTGCTACATACATAATACTACTTTTTTTTTCTAAATCTGTACACTACTCGTTAGATCAAATAGGATTTCGGGAATCTGAGTGACTACACTGACGAATAAATCTGAACCGTAAAAATATAGAATAATCTAGATAACTGTTGACTTTAAGATTTTATATGGAATTAGATGAGATTGTGAAACTTTGAATATAACACACACAATGTCTCCTTCATGTGTAATATGGTATCATTTACCACTCAAGACTCGTTAACATGTTTCATCTGGAAATCCATTTTTGAAGTGTGAACATCTGTTGATTTTTTTTAACTATGCAATGTTAACAAACCTCATGGTACTACCTATTGATGCGGTTTTCGCATTTTCTGTCTCAAACTACGTAGTAAACTTAGGGTCATCGAGAAACTGAGGTCAAATGTAAACAAGTACTGGCTCATACTTGGTTATATCTGTGTATCCACACCTGATACGTGATTTGAATTTCCTACAGAACCCCAAAACTGTCTTGACCTTACATAGAATGAGTCAATGTAGGCTAATTGTATAGATTTGTATTTTGTTTTAATGTCAGCTACTATTAGACACTCTTCAAGCCCCATAACATCAGTATTAGTAAATTAAAGCAACACAGACTAACTCCTAGTTACTCAGAAGTGTCACTGAACATCTCATCTTGCTTGGTATTGATCCAAAGGTTTCCTCCCAACTATTGAGGGGTTGATTTTGTAATGCGTTCATCAGAGCACAAAACCAGTGAATGGAATCACTGATAAACATCTTTTTGGTGCGACTCGACAGTTCGGAAGAGACGTTTATAAGACCCAGCACACTGTTCCATCTAAGTAATTATGGTTTTGATAATGTCAAAAATAATGTAAAACGTTGTTTTGAGTCGTGGTACTGTTATTCATTCCCATACATTTCAAACTAAGTCCTGAAGTCATTTTAGAAGCTACTATATATTTGAAATAGTGTTCCAAGTTTTTGTAGGAGTTTGAGACCCAGTTATGTACAGTATATATTACCACATCTTCTGTTAAGCATTTACCAAGTCTAGTTTGAATGTTCCGGTTTCTTATCACTACTGAGATTCAGCTGAAACCAAAGTTGTAGTCTCCAAATGTCATTAGTCTTTTTCATGTAGAGAATTTCATTCTAACTGCACATACGAATCCATTGTTACATCACTGGGAGGATTTTCTTTCACAACTCCGTAGTGCTTGAATAGTTAAAGCTTGATTAGTTTCCATCTAGTTCTTTCTCCTCACAAACTAGACGCACCCACAGCTCAGAGCTTTTGTACGGGTAGATTGGATATTACACTAGTTTGTGTGGTCCCTTAGAAGTCCATCACATACTTCTAGACACATGTTAATAGTGTGATCCGAGTAGACTATTTGGGTCATTCTAGCTCACAACAGAACTAGAATGATATTTAACGCGTAACTTCGAAAAGTAGAGATAATCACAAAACCATAAGCATTCGCAATTTGAGTTTAGGGAGTTTATATTGCTAGCATAACCAACAAAATGCGACATGACAAGATCCTAAGTTCATGAGGAGAAGTGCGAACTAATTGGAATCTCACGAACAGGCATCAAAGATACTCATGGAAGGAGTAAATTACAGATTCACCAATTTCCCCAAGTGATATGAGCCAAAGCGAAGATCGTTCCAGTACTCAGAAGTTTCGATTTAATTTCGCGTTGAGGTAGACATACGATAAACGTATACCACGAAGTAACTTTTCAAAAAATTTAGGAATTTAGTATTAATCTTTTAGTGCAAAGTCTGTTAAAACGGGAGAGCTATAGATAAGTTGTGCATGGCATTCAGCAAGTTAATGACGGAGACAAGTATCACATACACTCGGTATGTCCCATTCAAAAAACGTTTTAGTGGTTTTAGGCAATTATAACCACTGTGTGCGTCAAGACATGTAGTATCAATTTGGAGAGTGACTACTTATGACCCACACTTACCCGCTGCACATCTGTGGAGTTTGGATAGATATTTCAAAGCCAACTGGTCAGGTGGTCCAAGAAGTGACGTGTCTCCCTCGGATTTAACGTTATTTATGAATGTTTGCTCTACCCCTATCCTGTTTTAGACCAGGCTATCATCAGAGTAATGCGGACAGAACAAAGCAACATTACTAAGCCTGTCTCTTAAATATTCTTCACTTTTATTGGACAATTTGGAAGCAGGTCATGGATTCAGACCATCATGAATAATTACTTCTTTCTTATTGGTTTAAACTCGCCCCCCCCTACTATGGAAAAAACTAATGTTAAACTAGCAATCAAGCCTTGACTATTAAACCAATCAGATTGTAGTTAGATGTCTGAGTCATTTTAGACTAGTGATAATGGTGTCGGATAAAGGTTATTGGGCAGTGTGGCTTTCGCATTGTATAGTAGACTAACACGGAAAGTGTTTGCATATTTGCAAGTTCACGTTCAGTCAGATTTTCACGTGGAGTATGGGCGGAAGATCAGGCAAATTTGTGGTACCTCATACAGCAGAGAAAACCGAAGACAGTCTTCGTAAACCTGTAAGTAACGGTCTTTTGTTACATTTTCATGGTAAACACGAAACGAACTTATAAACTTCTTGAAATTATCCACGTAGGTTTATCTTTCTCTGGGACGTATGGGCAGAATAATGAGTCTCATCGTAAATAGCCTTATGTACTATTGATTTTCAAAATATTATACGACCCTATTGTTTAAACATGGTTCCGAGGTTAGACTCTATTACTATCAAAGTCTTATCAGAAAATGGACTGTAATATCAATGGAATTTAGCACTTGGTCCGTATTTGAGCATACTCGACAGAGGATGTCACGCAAATCACAACACCTTAGCTCCAAAATCTAATCCTCTGAGTGCATGAGCTGTCATTTAGTGATCAAAATTATCACTGTTGCGACAAAGAAAACTCATGAAAAGTAGATTAGCAAAATTGGTGTCAGTTTCTAAGGAGGACACTAGTGGGTTTCACGACATAGTTGTGTGTAGGGATTTCAAAAGACAAATGTTTATAATTTTACCATAGAAGTGAAATAACGTTTTTGTTTAAAGGTTATATTTGCAATTATTCTCAGATGTTATCGACTTATGCGCTTGACTATGTGGCTCGCAGAATAAATGTAGTGTTACAAGCTTGACAGAAACATCACTTTTTGACCCTATGCAATTTCTAAGAAAAGCTAATCCTTATTTGGTTCACATTTCCCCGTACGAAGTGAGAACAGTAAAGATAACTGGTATACCTTCAAATCAGTTATAATGGCTCAGATCCATAAGTTATTTTAGTCTTATATGTCGTTGTTGTCTTATTCATTTTCTGTATTTGCTTGTACATGTCCGTTCTTCCCCTTAGTCTCTTTCTGCGTTAATGCAGTGTGGAAACTTCCGTATCTGACGTCTGAAGTAGTATCACGAATAACATTGACATTCAGGAATTAAATAGGAATTGAAGAAGGAGATTGATTATGAATACAGTGATCTTGAGTGCTAATAGAGGTATGACGGCAGTTATTACTTCCCGGTTGCCCACTCCGTGGAAGGATTCTGAAAACTGGGTTAGAACTGGTCTTAGTGACCTGAGTGCGTGACCGCAGTGCCAATGGGACAACTGTTTGAGGTCGGTCACACGTGATCTTTTGTGAGTAATTTTTATGTCAGCTCCGTACTTGTTGAGACCTTAGCGCCGGAGACGTATGTCCGTGGGACAAGGCGAGGTGTGCATTTTTATTAGAGTCGACCTTTTCTAGCCCCACCCCTCCTTGTGTGTAGGCAGCATCGCTGTTATGCTGGTTGTCTGGAGGAAACACCTTAGTGCAGTCACACCTCTGTACAGTCAGCAGTACGGCTTCATCTCCATTTCTTGGGTTTACTGCTTTTGGTCTTACTGCTCTTCAACCGACCTGTCTGGCATGGTAGGGCCTTGAGGAACAGTTGATCCAGCCAGTATAGCTCGATTCGTTCATTACGATAGGCAAGTCGGATCACTACTTCAAGGTAGCAGCAACAGTCGGGATCATTGATATTATAGTATGCGAAAGGAATAGTTATTTGAATTGTTATCAATTATCAGACTTCTGTGTTGCTAACAATCTTACCAGTAATCCTACTGCATAGTGTTGTTTCAGCGCCCACATTGTTGACATCCTGTGAGTTCAATGTTAAGCTGAGTAATATTGTAGTTTTCCTATCTCCATAAAATCTTCCGACCTATGGGTTTCATCCTTAAGTTTTTTCTCACTGTTTTCTGAATCAGATGGTAGATCAATGGTTTTTACCACCTCAAACATGTTTTATTAAATAAAATACGACTTGTCAATGCTTTTGTAACAGCAATAACGTTTAATTGCTCTTTGGTGACTGACTTTAATATGTTCGAAACAATCACCAAGTAATCTTTGACAATATCTTGACAAATTCTCGTTAGTTTCCTTGTCTCCTGACCAATCAATATTAATGTGGATCAGTACGTAACCGTTATACTATCCCCACTTGCAACCAAGTAGATACTAAAAAATAACGGGTATGCTTCATCTATTTCGTTCCAATCGTATTTCATGTTTCTTACCATCGTTTCCATTGTTTTATTCAAGGCTATGCAATTTAAAATTTTCTCGCTATCCCGATGTCAGTTTTGTCTCCTGTCTGCTGACAGCGCCTTGTAAATCACAAAAGCTTACCCATTCAGATTATTAATTTTGTGATTGGTCAGTTGATTTCTAAAGCCTGTATACGAGAAATGCTAAGATAAATATACAAATAAGATTAATTAGCGTTTCCTTAAAGACTAAATCCGTCTGTTCCCAATTTTCCTAGTAGCTTGGTCGCTACATTTTCAATGATTCCAAGTTTTGCATATACTGATATATCATTGGTTTGTTCCAAATAAATTTTAGTAAGGTAAAAACGTACGCCTAATTAGCTTGTTAAAATAACTGAATGTATCCTAACCGGTCTAAGTAAATCTCGTTATTGCTTTTTTATCTTCTGGCGTTAATGTCTCTGCCTACATGTTGTTACCACCATCATATTTCGTCTCGATTGGTATTACTAGTTAGTTTGTTCCATTGACAGCAAATAGCTGGTCGTGGCTGTATCGACCACATATTCACCATTCGTCAGGTTTTAGAACTCAGACATGCTTATCGGCATCCAACAATGATAGTTTTTCTTGACTTAAAATCAGCATTTGAGTTTGTAGGTCGAGAGGTTGTGGCAGTAACTGTCATTGAAAGATGTGTCTTGGATGTACATAAACCTTGTGAAGGCTCTTTACTCGGACACTAGTAGTCGAGTGAGAGCTTATGGCAAACTGTCATCTGATTTCGCAACCTCAAGTGTTGTGGGGCAAGGCTATCCACTATCACCATTTTAGTTCAATTTCATTTTAGACCTACTTCTGGAAATAAAGTTCTCGTCTATTGAACTATCGGGAACTGATCACCTAGAAGGAGGTCCACTTACCTTCTTAGAATACGCAGATGATATAGTCCTGTTTGGTGAAGACGCTGATAACATGCAGAGTCTTCTATTAGAACTGAGTAACAATGCCAAGATATTTGTATTGCGTTTCTCCCCCTATAAATGTAAATTGTTACTCCAGAACTGGCCCGAGTCAACACATGAACTAAGGATAGGAACTGAAGTAGTCGGACGCGTCGACAACTTCACCTATCTTGAAAGTCTGACCAGCCCTAATGGATTAGTGTCTGACTAAATCTCTGCACGGATTCAGAAAGCTCGTTCGGCTTTTGCCAATTTACATCACCTATGGCGAAGACGAGATATGCTTCTATCAATTAAGGGACGAGTCTACTGCGCAACAGTTCGTTCTGCTCTACTTTACAAACGCGATGCATGGCTATTAAGGGTAGAGGATACTCGTGAGTTACTAGTATTTGATCACAGATGTCCTAGAAATATTGCTCGTATCTTCTGGGATCACCGGGTAAGTAAATAATAGGTTAGACGCAGAGTATTAGGGAATGATGGTGAATCAGTTGATGAGGTCGTGAATCTTCATAGACTGGGATGGTTGGGCCACGTATTGCGCATTCCCAACCACCGATCACCACGACGCGCAATGCTGATTAGTGTTGGAGATGGTTGGCAGAAAGTTAGGGGTGGTCAAGCCAAAACGTGGCATCAGTGTTTGAAGTCACTAACTTCTAGTCTGATCCATGTTGGTAGATGCTGACTACTTGGTTGGGGTCCGCGTGACTATCGTAACCAATGGTTGGAGACTCTGTGACACATGGCTCAGAATCGATGACAGTGATGTAGGTGTATGCATTAAGCTCTTTGTCTTCCCTCAAACCGTGAGATTGGAATTGCTTTATGCCTTTCTTTCTACGAACTAATTTATTCTACCTATATCATATCCTTATAAGAAATCTTTCTTTTATGTTACTGCTATTGAATATTTATTTGTTTATTTGAACAGATAAATATTGGTACAAAGGGGTACCGAATACATATGTGCCACACAAAAATTTGTCATTTCATCTATTTGTGTGAAGGCTATGATACTGCCCGGATGCCCAGACCAGAGCAGGTGGTTTTCTTAAGCAGCTACACCTCGAGCCTTTGATCTAATTGTCTGATCCACAATTCAATGGAGCATCGTGAGGAGATGCATCCCCATGGTAGCCGGTGACCAACAATTGGTTCATCCGCCATTTGTTCCCTCAGGATACTGGAGCCCATGTGCACCATTGGTTTGGAATAAGGGTTTTCCAACTCCCCTAGATGGACTTTCCGTGTCCACCAACCCGGTTAAAGCGCCGGACATTCGCTTTTCGTCCTCTCAATTTCGCGGAGAACACCCCCACCACGAGAAAGCAGTGAGTTGGACTTCCCTGACAAAGACTATATACGCGTGGCTATGTGAGAGCATTCGGAGAGAGAGGGCGGCCTCTCACCACTCTCGACCGTAGTAGGGCATTTGAGGGCGACTATACCACGTTGAAAGCACCCGTTCTCGTCCGTCCATCGAAGTAACTATGAATTTGGTATTTTTCTTGTTGTGTTTATGAGGTGTAGCAACTTGGATCAATGCATATATGTGCCTGGTCCTACGTTGTAGCTGACTGACGAGTAGCTGAAATTATACTCAACATAGTTGTTTACTTCGTCAAAGTTTGAGATCCGTTATTAAATCGGGCAATGTTTAATGCATTTTTGTGTTTACCTATACCTAGGATTTAGAATTGCCTGATAGATATCTGTCTTTAACAGAACCGTAGTTTTGCAGTCATATAATGCAATTGATTTCCAACCATTGAATCCAAATTTCAATTCATCTCCATGTTTGGTCTAAGCAACTGAGTATTGATCACTAGCTCACACGAAAAATATGGCTTAAAAGTGATTATCGAAAGTTGCATCTCATTCGAAATTTACATGTTTTCTTTCAGTTAAACTTAATTATCAATAGATTGCGTTCATATTTTTCTGCTGTATTTTTAGGATACTATTGAGCAGGTCAAAGCTTTGGATAGCGAACAGTCAGTTCAGGTAAGTATATGCAGCCTGTTTCACACTGTCCTTATAAATTAGTTTTTAAATGCATGTCCTTACCTTCACTTTTGCTTTACCAATTTGCTAGTATATCCTGGTGATTTTGTTTCTTGTTTTCTCATTTACTAATCAATTAGCTTTTAAATGGAGTTGTCACAGCTGGTCCAGATGTTCCTTGTATAGATGAGGTTATGGAGGTAGGCTTGTCTTCCAGGCTTCAAAATTTTTTCTGCTTTACGGGGAGTAGCTGCTAATATTGTTATTTTGGACAGTTTGTCTAAACTTTGTCGCTTAGTGTGCTTGCTTAGTCCTTATTCTGATAAGTAGTACTTAATTTTACGCCTAGTATTTAAATTTGTGTAACAGGCAAAAAATCTTTATCACTGACTTTTAATCAGTGAATTTATCCTATCGAATAAAATGTTTCAGTAGTCGCAACTCATATTTCAGTATCACTTATTGCCTGCTTTTAGTCATCGATCTGTTTTAATAGTTATCTAATCGTTATGATCTCTAAAACCTTATTTTGCTACAGCAATCGGCCAGCTTTGTACCAGTAATTAAAATTACTTCACTGAATTGCTTTATTTCTAGCTCGCGGATGATGTTAAGCTCGAAAATGGTCACAAAGAGAAGTGTTCCTCAGAGGAAGAAAACCATGAACAAGAAAACGGCGATTTAACGAAGTCAGACGTTCCACAGAATGGAGATGCAAAACGGGCCAAGAAAGGAAACCCGATATCACGAATTTTACGACGTATATCCAGAAAAGGCTCTAATATCAAAAAACACTCCACCGACAACACTTGTGAGAAACCTGAGGATACTAATAACGACGAAAAACAAGAAGTTAACACAACTGAAGCACAATCTCCTGAGTGCATAGCAAATAATAGTGTGGATCCTACTTCTGATAGTTCTGTCCTACTAGTTGCAGACAAGCTAGTTCAAGATGTCATTGTCTCTGCCACTCAAACTCGTTTGGAAGAAATCCAAGTCTGTGAAGTGAAACCATATGAGGAAAGTTATAATCACACTGAGACAAAAAATGATACTCAAGTAAGTGCATTTATTGCTCTGTTTACCGTGAAATAAAACATATACAACTCAACTGTCACATGTCAATCTATTAGGCTATAAACTATACCTAGTGATTGCCAGCTTATACTATTTGAAATATAATTGATTTGTGAGTATTTTCAAGTTAAGGATTATTTTGTTGAATTCTGATCAAATAATATATGATTATACGAATATGTGAGCCTAATACTATAATACTTTGTATGTATTACTTGGTAAGTGTTACTGAAAAGTTGCATTCAGTGTGCTACGTTGAGTTGAAAACAATTTTCACAAGACCTGTTCTTTTTATTTCCAAACTTCGCATTGTTTTGCTTGTAGTGTGTAGTCATTTTTATACATCAGTTTAAATCGTTCATCTAATACCTACATTTAACGTTCCTGTCTCAGATTTCTCGGCAATCAGCAGCATAGCTCATGTGGGATGAAATTCAGTGATAAAAGATCTAGTTCATTATTTTAGTATCATTCGACTTCCTAACGGTGATTTTATTTCTATTTCAAAATATTTGTTGTTTGCACTAATGTTGTAAAAAGTAAACCTAAATTAAAACTATATTTATTGCCACCGTAGTCCACTTTCTCTTTATTTAGGTCGATTGTTCCAGTTTATTTAGGGATGGCTCAAGAAAACCAATTTATGCCTTTCCTTTAGAAAATTTGTATGAAATTTCCTAATTCTATTTTAGGAACCACTCTCCGAGGCGGAAATTTCACATGTCAATTCTTGTATCAATGGATCTTATGTAAATGGTGAACCCGTAAACGAAAGTATAAACAAATCTGAAGATGTTCTGGTAAATGGAAATCATACACATGAAGAGGTAAATCTTTTTTACTTGCTTTTGTCTTGTTTTTTCAAGTTCTCGTATTATGAATCATAATTACTCATGCCTAATCACAAAACTAATGGACCTTCAATGAGTACAACGAAGGTATCATTGGACTAAATCCTCTGACGTATCTCCTGGCATTGCTTTGCATGGTCTTTAGAATTCAATCCAGCTAGTTCTAAATTCGTAACAAATTGCAAGCATTGTATTGTACTATGAAATTATTTTATATGAACTATAAAGCACATGAAACCTTCCCAAGCCAACTAAACCCCTTAATAATTTAATACAGTCTTTAGCAAAAGTATGTGACTTATGGGATCAAGGTAGTTCGTTGCAAGCTACAATGTTGTGGATTTTTCATGTGATTCCTTTTGTTGTACAAAAGTATCGATTGTGTTGTATACTCACAAGATTGTCATTTCTCTCATCATATTTGAGATATGTCGCATTAATTAAAGCCATCATTTTTATTATTATGAATACTTTGTTTCTGTTTCTGATTGTGTAGGTGAATGGTGTGGATTGCAACAATGCCAATGGATATGCTGATGATAACATAATCCAGTCTAAGCTGGCAAATCTGGAACTGATTAACGGACATTCTGAAGTTAATGGATTTCATTATGAAACAACAAACTCAGTGATGCTATCTAATGATTACTAAGAGCATGACAATGTCTACATCTATTTTGTTAAGCAACTTTACAGTTCATCTTACAAGTCAAATACTTTTTACCCCTCTGTAATAAAATTGATTGTCTTTTTCTTTTGGCTATTGTCTTACTAATTGTTTTCTACATGCATCCGGATGTTCCGGTCATATCACATAATAATACTAGGTGAGATTATTGTTTTGATTATTTATTTCTAAATTTATACATCTGAAACGCATTAATTACTTTGGATTATTAAATGTGGTAATGTAATAAATACATAAGTTACAAATCAATGATACTTTTAGATCAATAAGGAAACCTGTCTAAATACATGCTTTTTTCCCGATCGTTGCTGCTACCTTGACGTGGTGGTCGGGCTTGCCTATCGTGATGAAGCAATCGAGCTATGCTGGCTGGAACAGTCGTTCCTCGAGGTCCTACCATGCCAGACAGGTCGGTTGAATAGCGGTGAGACTAAAAGCAGCAAACCCAAGGTCCGAAGGCGAAGTCGTACTGCTGACTGTACAGAGGTGTGACGGCAGTAAGGTGTTTCCTTCAGACAACCAGCATGACAGCGATGCTGCCTTCCCACAAGGAGGGGTGGGGTTAGAAAAGGTCGACCCTAAAAATGCACACCTCGCCTTATCCAACGGATTTCCGTCTCCGGCGGTAATGTTTTTTTTTGAAGAACGGAGCTAACACAAAAACTACCCACAAAAAGGTCGTGTGTGACCGACCTCAAGCAGTTGTCCCTTGGGCACTGCGGTCACGCTCTCAGGTGATTAAGACCACTCCTAACCCAATTTCCTTTTCAGGTACCTCTAGAAGAATCCTTCCACGGTGTGGGCAAACGGGAAGTGATAACTGCCCTCATACCTCTAACAACACTCAAGACCACTGTATTCATAATCAATCTCCTTTTTTACTTCCTACTATTCCCTCTACCTTGACTTTCAACACTAAACTTCCTCTCTCGGTTTCCTCCTCTGTAGACCGAGAGGTTCTGTGGCAGTGTCTGTCATTGAAAGGTGTACCTGAGAAGTACATAAACCTTTTGAAGGCTCTTTACTCGAACACTATTAGTCGAGTGAGAGCTTATGGCGAACTGTCATATGATTTTACAACCTCAAGTGGTGTCCGTCAAGGCTGTCCACTATCCCCATTTTTGTTTAACTTCATTATAGACCTGTTGCTGGAAATAACACTCTCTTCGACTGAATCTACAGGAATTGATCTCCAACCAGGGGGACCACTAATCGACTTAGAATACGCAGATGACATAGTCCTGTTTGGTGAAGACGCTGGCTAAATGCAGAGTCTTCTGTTGGAACTCAGTAATAATGCCAGGATGTTTGGGATGCGTTTCTCCCCATCCAAATGTAAATTGTTACTCCAGGACTGGCCTGCGTCAACACTCGAACTAAGGATAGGGAGTGAAGTAGTCGAACGCGTCGACAACTTCACTTACCTTGGAAGTCTGATCAGCCCTAATGGGTTGGTGTCAGACGAAATCTCAGCACGGATTCAAAAAGCTCGTTTGGCTTTTGCCAACTTACGTCACCTATGGCGTAGACGAGATATCCGTCTATCAATTAAGGGACGAGTATACTGCGCATCAGTTCGCTCTGTCCTAATTTACGGCTGTGAAACATGGCCATTAAGAGTAGAAGATACTCGTAGGTTACTAGTATTTGACCACAGATGCCTTAGAAATATTGCTCGCATCTGCTGGGATAACCGGGTAAGTAATAGTGAGGTTAGACGCAGGGTATTAGGGAACGATGGTAAATCAGTTGATGAGGTGATGAATCTTCATCGACTGAGATGGTTGGGCCATGTGTTACGTATGCCTGAACACCGATTACCGCTATGCTGACTAGTGTAGGGGATGGTTGGAAAAGAGTTAGTGGCGGCAAAACCAAAACGTGGCATCAGTGCTTGCTGTCACTAACTTCTAGTCTGAGCCATGTTGGTGGATGCAGACTACCTGGTTGGGGTCCGCGTGACTATCGTAGCCAATGGTTGGAGACTCTAGGTGACATGGCTCAGAATCGATCACAATGGCGTAGGTGTATACACTTTTTATCTTCTCTTAAACCTTGAGATTAAAATTGCTTCATATCTCTCTTCCTTCCTGTACTATATCCTTATATACAACTTATAATTTATATACTACTACCAACACTAGATTAACTACTATGAATCCGGTGTTCCTCTTGTTGTGCTAACGAGGTATGGCAACTTGGACCGATGCATATATGTGCCTGGTCCTACGTTGTAGCTGACCGACCGACATGCTTTTTTACTTACCTTTCTTGAAAAAGCTGCAACATCGCTACTACATGGTTACTTCCCGAAATATTTCTGTAGCGAATGAATAAGTCGCAGGGTTGTTTAGAATATATTGAGATAAACTTGACAGGCTGGGGGGTTGCATTGTACATCAGTCACAAGTCGATGAATGATGACATTTTTTATAAAAACGAGTGTGGTCTAACAAAAGTTATGATCAAGTGATCTGGTCATTTATTGGAAAATGACCCCAGTTATAAGATCACGGTCTCCGCTCCATCTTGATACCATGATATTGTGTAATTGATCGACAACAATCAATGTTACACAAACTATTTCCAAAACGTGCACTTTGAGGACAATATCATCTAACTTTATGTGTCAGGTAATATTTAACGAGGATTTCATGGTTAAATTTAAATCACAATGTGACGGAACTTGTCTCTGACTCGGTATTAATTTTGTTTTTTGAAAGGCATCAAAGTTATTGTATAATGTCTTATTTGTGGTACTCACGTAGACATCGTGAGGTCTTAGTATAAGTAGCAGCAGTATTTGATTTACTTGCATATATCACGTGTGAGTCGATCGCTCCCAAAATCTATCCATTTGATAATTATAGCAGTAAAAGTTTTGGTAGTTTCTTCTATTTGATTTCATACGATGTATGTCACTAGTGTTATCATAAAGAGCAAAATAAACTGTTTAGAATGTAAATTTGTTCGTGTTTCACACAGTAGTTACCTTTTTCAGTGCTCATTTTGTTAGTTTGTTGTGAGTTTCGTTTTCTAGTGACATAACCTTCGGTGTGATTTACATTGTCACGTTCTTTCTCTTATCTAGTGCTATTCGTCAACAAAAGCGATCAATGTTTGCTACATACACACGTTTGATACAAACAATTGTATTCAGTTAATTACTTTCTTTATCGAACTTTTACTAAAATTCTTTTCAAATATCTTTTATCCTCACTGTATTTGTAAATCTGTATTCAGGATTAAAACAATGGTTTCAAATAAATGCTTACATTTCTTAATTGTTAATATCGACGAGTTTCCTACTTGGTTTTACTTTACATTACTCTTCTCCAAAACTGTTTTTGACTGCTTTTAGAGACCTCTTGTATCTGGATATGACTTTATTTTTTGGCTTTTCAAAAATCATGTTTTAATAATACGATCTGGTCAAGCATATAATCGTAAAGTTTTCATCGACAATCTTATGTCTAACTTTCTTTTAGGAAATCATTGCCCTATTTCATTCAAAATAATGTCACATTGATTTAACCATTATTATTGATTTTAAATGTACGAAATATTTTAAAACGCTTGTTCTTATTTATTCAAAAGTTTTGGAGTAAAGAAGTTTATAACTATCTAAGTTTCCTGGCTTCAGTAACATGGTCAGGATATTGATGTACTTATTCCGATTTAAATTCCTCTGGATATCCTTAAGTACAAATACTTCCTTTTTTGAACTACTAGTTATAGAAATTTGTAATCATTGAATTCATTCATTAGTTAATGAGTTGATGTTATTAATAACAGATTTATCAGAAGCTATAAAGGCGTTAGGGAGGAAGGTTTGTTGTTGAGTTGAAAACCTGGAATTCCTTTATCTAATTTTGGATTTTTAAGGGGTTCTATGGTTTTCTCTTAAGTACTGTATATAATTCTTGACTAATCTAGAGAAATTTGAGTAGAACTTTGTCCCTGAATTCAGAAGATAGGCTTCTGCTTTTTAGATCAATCTGATTTATAGTCGAAACATGTACTCATCTCAATGAATGGGAATGAGCCCTTTTATTTTCACAGGTTCTTGAAAATCATGACTGCTTAATTCCTGATATCGAGATAGTTCATTTTAGTGGAGATATTATGGTTTTAAACTCCTCATAATCTTGATTCAATGTACTTCACTAGTTGTTCTAGCTCACCATTATTTATTTCATGCAATTCGTCTAATAAAGAAGCAGAACATTCAAAGGGATGAACCATAGTTTTAAGTGATGCTGCTAATTTTGGCAGCGGAATTTTTACCGAGGTGTGGTGAAACTCAGTTTCCGTTTCTTGATTAAACAGTGTCTAGCAACAATCAGAAACAGTCAAGTTTGATGTTGGTCAGTGACTATTTCTGATAATATCCCATGCATTTTACGTGATTTATTATACAGGTAACCGATCAATGACAATGCATAAACCTGTGGTGGAATATATTTGGTAATTCAGTTTTGCGAAATTCAGTATAATTGTGATCTGACTCTAGAATATTCAGGCTAGCGTCTGTGTAACACTTCTTAAATATGACAGGCTCATGAGTTCCTCATATATTTTTGAACAAACGCAAACTGACAATGATCACGAATGAACCGTTGTAAATATAGTATTTGGGAGTTAATAACTGGTGCTCTTACATTATGAATAGTACAAATGGGACAAGTTTCTAATTTTATGGGTTAGTGATGCACTTACGTGCTCAGGTAGCTGCTTTACATCAACTAATCGAACTGTAGTAGACAAATAATTAAACTATAATCGCCATACTATAAGCTCTTTAATTCAATTCTTAAGCGCTGATTGACTTTACCAAATTTATTTAATTCACCTAAATAATTTTAAAGTTTAGAATACATCAATAAGGAATTAGTAGCTTTTGAGATATCTTCGTCCATGAAGATTAGTAATTGACTTTTGTTCAAATCGCTCAGTAGCATTCCAAATTGATCTTAATGTCTGTAGATCTTCAAACGAAAATCAGACCCTCGATCATTTGGATTGAAACCCATCTGTTTTAGTGTTTTTAATAAATTCCATAGCACTCTTAGCTGCGAGACAGTATTTTCGATCAGTTTCGTTGTTTGGCTAACAATATAAACAGCTTATCCAGTGTTCAACCATATTTGTTTATCTTTATTATTAAAATAATAGTTCTATAGGAATTTAAACGTAAACTGAACCACATCACGTTGTATGAAGTTTCGTTGAAAATGTTTTCGATGTAAATTGTATAAATATTGATGTTATCGAAGTAGATAAGTTCACATCAACTTTGTAGTTGTATGTATGATTTATCAAGTTTTTATTACATATGTGGTTGTAGTGTCGTAGTTCCTTTTTTATGTTTAGTGTGTTTTGCGTATAAAATGCAACATGGTTACGAATTCCATTTAGAAAATGAGTATCACCTACAACGACTGAATAAATTATGTGAATAGTCGGTCTATTTTCTGTTTGCCTCCATTTATGACCAATTGTATTTGTCATCTTCATATTTCCAAGTTCTTGACTCTTTAACTTCCTACACCATTTTTTGTATAATGTTATTACGAAAAGTAGAAAAGACAGTTTCATTCATTGTTTGATATTCTCATTTTCATGCTGACAAGTTTTAACTGTATGTCCTGTATGAAAACAGAAAAATGGTGTAAATGACCATAGATTGCCTCTATTTGCTTTATAAAGAAACAAAGGGAACTAGTAGCTGTATGGTTCTATGATACTATTCAATGGTAGATTCTTGGCGATAAACAAAGTATCGTTTTATGTCTGTGGACTGAATTCATAATTGTGTCTTGGTCAGGCCTCGAACCCGGCAACCACGATTCCAGTTATTTACAAATGGTATTGGGAGTCGTTTGATTTTGTGAGTTGACTGGACCTAGAAATGTAAACCACTGGATGTTGTCTTAATGGTCTAAAAGTTAAACGCTCGTCTGAAGGTATTGGGTTCAATCCCTGATAAGAAGTTATTTATATATTTTTACACAAAAATATTGGTTCAAACAGGTACCAGATACATATGCGCCACACAAATCAAATGAGATTTGCGTGAGGGCTGTGATACTGCTCAGGTGCCCAAACTGAAGCAGGTAGTTTTCTTAGGGTGCCACACCCGGAGCCTTCGACCCAAGGGTCTGAGCCACTAGGCAGTGGAGCATCGTGAGGAGATGCATCCCCATGGTAGCCGGTGACCAACAATTGGTTCATCCGCCATTTGTTCCCTCAGGATACTGGAGCCCATGTGCACCATTGGTTTGGAATAAGGGTTTTCCAACTCCCCTAGATGGACTCGCCGTGTCCACCAACCCGGCTAAAGCGCCGGACATTCGCTTTTCGTCCTCTCAATTTCGCGGAGAACACCCCCACCACGAGAAAGCAGTGAGTTGAACTTCCCTGGCAGAGGCTATATTACGCATGACCATGTGAGAGCATTTCGAGAGGGAGAGCGTACTCTCGGCCGTACCAGGGCATTTGGGGGCCCTGATAAGAAGTGAATGGTCACTTCTGTGGAGTTTTATATACATGTTCAGTGTAATTCAATAGGTCAATCAGAAATAACTAACAGTATTTGTATTTTCATATGAATTTAATTAATGACTGGATTTAAATATATTTAAAACCAAATATCTGATTGATACTTAATGCCTCAACGGATCAGTACACTTCTTCTGAATGTCATTATACAAAACTTTAATATCATTCAACTTAGAAAGTTATCTATTTAATCATTTGCTGATATGCTTCCAGTGATACTAAAACCTTATTTATCATGGTGTTGAGGGTATTTAGTTTCACATCTATTATATCTGTTAAATTTTTTAAAATTCCCATTCACTTATTGGATCATATATAACAAACTATTAGATGTCAGTGTGATGAACGATGTTGCATAGAAATATTTCTTGGACCTATATGTTTGGAGTCATAAATAAGTCCAATTACTTCCTCTCTTTAAACGGCACATGTAATTGTATTGTCAGTTAGAAATATACATAAACATCGTTAACTTAATTGTTCTTTGGTTAATGAAGTTTTACGTTTGTTGTTTATTTTGGCTGACAGTTGTAGTCAGTGCTATTGTAATGAACAGAACACTGGTTGGGGACAATCGAATGTAATTAAGCAAACATTACAGACTATCTCAGTAAATTCTGATAACCAAACAATGAACAGTCAATTTGCAAATTAACAACCAATTGTTTCAATCTGCACTGTTTCTTCTCTTATTCCATTGCTCATGCATTTTCCAGACGTTTGCGTTTCATTTCAGTTCTTTCTTCATCGGTCTTCTGCGAAAATACATTCTATGTCTGACCCACACCATATACTACTTATATAGATATAAGTAGACCACACTATTATTAGTCACTATTATTTATTATTGTTATTATTGAATTTCATTGTCTACAGTGTTAGTGAAGAAATAATGTTGTTACTTTCCGAAAAATGTTTTCTTTGGACTCAAAGAAAGAAAATGTCTTCCCATATGTTTGGTTAGAATTTCAAAATCAAATTGTTTTTTAAGTTGGCAGTCATGCACAAGCGATGTGTAGCCTGATACATATTTTTATTAGTTCAAATTGATACGCCATATCACCAAAGAGAGACGAAATTCTCAAGACAAATCTCAGAATAGTAGAAACAGTATTAGTGGTAGTAGTAAATATTAGCTATAGACAAGATAAATGAATTTTTAGGACGAAAAGGTTAACAAAATACTTTTGAGACTAGATTTAAGGGATGACGACGAGTAAATGCTTACATGCCATTGTAATCGATTCTAAATAACATCACACAATGTTTCCGTCGATTGCTTACGATAATCGTGTGGACTCCAACCAGGTAGTCTGAACATTCTAACATGGTTCAGTCTAGCAGCCAGTAACTTCATGAACTGATTGGTTTGGCCGCCTCTACATTTATTCAAATTTATCCCCACACCAGCAAACATTGCGCATCGAGGTAGACGGTAATCCCAGTCAAATCAGTCGATGAAGATTTATTATTGTATAAACCTATTTGGTACTTCTACCTTTACGCTGCAAAAAATTTTACCACTGTTTACCCAGTGGTCCAAACATACGACAGTAGTGCTTCGAAGGTATTTATGATGAAATACTGGTGAAATAAACTAACTTTAAAAAGCAATTTGAATGTCTAATAAGTTGGAAAAGATGTTTTCCGTTTTACATAAATAACTGTATGGTTTGCTTTTAATTTTTGGAATCTCAGCTTATATTGATTAGTAAAATTAGGACTGAGAGTTGCTTATAATCTTTCTGCATTTTATAATTATGTTTTGTACTAATTAGTTAGATCTAATTAATAAGATTACTGGTAAATATGGATAAAGATGTTAGAAAATAAGATAACAGAAAATGATTATTTTTGATTGTGTACTTTTAATATTAAAAATGTCCCTTGGTCAATGTATTTATGATCAAGTTGTGACATATAATTCAACTAGTTATCTTTAGGTTTTTACAACATCTCAGTATAATGTAGCTGCAACTATCGCTACTAGATTATCAGGTGTGTTTATGTTGAAAAGATCCCCAGTTCCACAATTTTAGTCCAATTTTCTAGATATTTTTCAGTATAGAGGGCTCTGGAGATGATTGAATTTTTTAGTTTTACATCACAAAATTTCTTTAGTCAGATAACCACTGAAATTTGAAAACACCGGGCATCTGTTTCATTCTAGTATGGGACTACTCTGTGGTACGCTATATTATATGACACTATCAGAAGTATTCATACTTTACCTGCTTGAAAAGACTACGAGCACGAACATGGTCG